GAAAAGTAAGCAAGAAGTTCAGTATTTTCTCCTGACAAAGAAATAATGTAGAAGTGTCTAGACACCAGAAAGTCACAATTCTGCTTTACTTAGTTCTTGATTAAATGCTTTTAGTTGCTGTCTACTCGACCCACTTGCACTCCTCCCCTCTTCCGAAATCCTTGTATTTCAGAGCATGCTCAGTCTGCAGCACGGAGAGACCACTTCCTCTGAGTGGCAGACAGCTCACTGTTTTCCTCCTCACCTTATCACTCTATCACCAGCCAACAGACACAGAAAGAGAGTTAGTGTAAGAGAGAGCAAGTGAAGCAGTGACTTCTCTCTCTCTCTCCCACTCTGTCTTCTACACACTCTGTCAGGTTTGGCTCTCCCTGTTTGGGCACGATGAGAACGGCAGATTATTGTGGCTGATAAGATGAGGAATGCTGCTAAGAGAGGAAACTCTGTTCTGGAGGAGATGTAGCCTATAGAGGACTGTTCCCTTGTCTGCCCCATATGTCATCCAACACCCCCCAACACCACCACTGGCCTTTTCCTCTCCTCTCTCCCTCCATGCCACAGAGGCAGGATAGACATAAGAAGGGAAGGCAAGCAGGGATTGAAATCCGTTGACCCAGAGCTGATGGGCATGCCCGATCAAGCCTCTCCTTCCTCCGGCTTGCCCTTTTTCTACCTCTCTGTCTAGCCCTGTTGTTCTTACTTCATTTCTATTTCATAATTCAAGACTATGTAGCAATATGACCACGTAAAATATCACTCAACAGTTTTCACTGAAATAACTTTGGACTTAGGAAATAGTTTCTAGGAAAATTGTGTGTGAAGAGGTGTGTGGTTTTTCCAGAGTAAATGTATGTTATTGCTGGATTTTTACAAAAAAAAAAAAAAGCAGCATTTTTTCAAGAGACATATATATATATCGAACCTAAAAAGAAAAATCCCAAAATGGCCTATGGTTTAAAAAAAAAAAAAAAAAACTTTCTCGTAATGTAGTAAAACTGACTGTTTAGAGCATTTATACATTATTGAGACTTTATATGTTTTAAGCTGAAGCAAAGTCTGAGGTGAGATTTCATTTCACCCGATGTTTAATATTATCAGCTTGTTTTTAATGATAATCAAGGATTGATGCATTTGGGAAAAGTGGCTTCTTAAGAAGAATAGTTTGTATGAGTGAATATTGCAATCATTTTGAGATAATAACTTATGTTTGAATTATGTATTTCATATTCTGATCAGTATTTTAGGCAGAATTGCCTACTTAGACACAGTTAGGATTTGATCTGAAATTGGAGCTTTTTGTTGAACGTCTTTATTATGTTGCCTTCGCCTTTAAAAATAATTCCTGAGCCCAGTATTTAAGAACTAATATTTAAATGCTGATTTTCTTTTCTCTGATTGTTTAATGTAAAAATACAATACAAGAGAAGTCAGAATAAAAACTGTTAAAATTGTATTCTTCTCTATCCTGCCTCTGGTCTCACAGATTGTGTCCATGTAACCACTAACTAAAATGTGTACCTGGAAGGTTTTTCTTTACATCGGTCTTTTCTATTAAAACTTAAAAGATCCAGTATGAAAGATTTGGTTAGAGGCTGTTTTATTCAGACCACAGCAAAAAGAGTCATTTAGCAGCTTAAAACAAAACCAAGTGGAAATGCCAGTTGGAAGGAGCTCTACTGAAAATGTCCAGTACACTCAAAGCACAGAGTAAAAAAAAAAGACTTTTACCATAGTTTGCATGAGAGACAAAGAAAGTCCCAGCATTCCTCTTATACCAGCGCAAACTTCACTAGATGCAGAGAATGAAGAGTGAGAAGGAGGAGGGAGGTTCTATGTTCACATGTTCAGAGAGCAGCTGAGGTGAAAAATAGAGACGGGGAGACACAAAGAGCAGGAGACTAATAAATAGTGTGTTGGGAGGTGAGAGCTGCAGACAGAAGATTTTGTGTGGAACCACCTCGCCTAACCTCAACACCGCTGAGCGCTCAGCCAGGGTCTGAATTAGATCATATGTATCACTGGATCATATCGCCATGTGTTCATGCTAACCTGTGTGTGTGTTTCTGCATTATATTCTTTAGCTACAATTCACTTCTTTTCCCTCACAGCTAACGTCTAAGTCACCTTACTTACTAACACTTCTAAAATGGGGGCTGGCATCTAACCTATGTAGTATGTATGTATTGGTGTGTGTGTGTGTGTGTGTGTGTGTGTGTGTAGGTGTGTGTGTGTGTGTGTTATGGGGGCTGATGGCTGACTAGATGTAGATTGTTCATGCGATAGAGGCCAAGGCTACATGTCAGGAGAGAGCTTAGACTTTTTGGTTTTGGCCTTTTAACGCGTAATTTAATTTTGTTGCTACAGATTGAGACAACATTGTACTCCCCAAGATAAACACAAAGATCTAAAACAAAGTGCGATGGGACACAAATTAGACGGTCAGACATTTAACCCTCAGATTAGCCAAAGTCACTTGTTCCCAGGAATGAACAGTCAAATCACGACCCAAAGAGACAGACATCCTGGTTCAACTATTACACCAACATTTCCAGTGAACTCACTTTCAGTTTTACCTCCAAATACAGGGGTTTTACATAATCTGCCTAAATTGCTGGTTTGTTTAACCGTCTGGAGTCAAAATAATCATTCACAAACAGCACTCACTTGCACACCATTACAAGGAGCTTTTACCTGTTCTTGTGGTCCATTCAGGGGCTAAATAATCCAAGAAACACTTTTATTTTTGGTAACTTCTGCAAAATAACGAAAGTAATAATTCACTATTTTATGTACTTGTTTATCCTAATGAAAGAGACTGCTGGCAGACATGTTGACTGTCTCCATTCCAGTCACAAGCTGTGTTATTAGGTGGTGAACTGTGCTCCAAGCACTGCACCAGTGATGATTCCAAAATGCTGTATGGCTGATTTACACACAAGATTGGAGAGATATTTGCTGTGTCCCAAGGGTGCAACATTCAAGAGATTTTCAGACAGTAAATAACATCTAAGGATAATTATCTTTAGTGTATTGTGCTATGTGAAGACATGTTCTTACAATTGTGAAGATCATACATTTTTGCACATAGCTGTTTGTGATTGTCTCGTGTTTTTCATTCAACTGGACTTTGTTAAAATGAGGTTGCAGTGTTCTCTGCAATTGCTTTTGTGTGCACAATGTAAAGCTTTAGAGATGATGGCAGTAAGCTACCAAAACAGAACAATGGATGTAGTTTGATATGTCTTTTTTTTAAAAAACACACACACAAAGGGCAACATCAACACATTAAGTTCACATATGTGAAGCTGCACACGAAAAAAAATGAATTAGTAGAAGCTCAGATGTGATAATCATAAATTAGAATGCTGATTGTGCCAAAAGTGTGGGATGCAAACGAAACACAATGAGCCAAGGACAAGATGGACATTTAAACAGATGCTTTTTTCTGTAATATGTACACAGTAGAGAATATAATAGTTTTATATTATATAATGTAATGTTTCATGATTGTAAAATAACACAATCTTTTCTTTGTGATCTGAGTAGCATTAACTTAATCATTATGCAACTGTTTTAAAGGCATGAATGGAGAAGTTATTGTAGCGTAGAAACCGAAGCCAGTCAGTAGGAGTGCCAGTGTAATTCTGGAAGGCAATTAAAAATTTTAAATATTTAGTTTATTAGGCTGGAGGGCTCTTTGCTCATCTAATCATCTGTTTGGTGATGCACTCAAAGCAAAGCTGTATTTTACAGTGTTGCAGTTGTTTTAATCCGTCTGAATGATTGCCAAAACTATAGAAATTAAACCCAGACTTTCCTTCCACAGTGAGTGTAGGAAGCTGCTCAACACCCATCAGCTGCACCAAAACACTGAGACTGGGTGTCAAAGCCCAGACAGGCCTCTCAGTGCTTTACTGAGATTACGCAACAATTAAGATAAGACTGGATGACATTTTCCTCTCCCTCTCTCCCTCTCTCTCTCTCTCTCTGTCTGTCTCTCGCCCTCTCTCTCTCTCTCTTTTTGTAGTGTGATTGTAAAGAATGTTGTTTAAAGAAGGAAAATGATGTTCGCCTTTGATGTCGTCTGAAATATGAAACACCCAGAGGCTCGTAGAAATGCTAAACACCCACTATGCACAAGCTGTGTTCCACAAAGCGCTGCTTCATCTAAATGCTATTCTACTAATGCGCAAACAGACTAAATGTACAGTTCACTTTTCACTGGAAATTACTTAACTGCACAGTTTCAGTTTGACCTCAGTGGAAGTGAACTGTCACCTGAGCCCCCCCCCCCACTCACTTTTCCCCCTCCCTCCCTTCCCTCCTCCCTCTCTATCTCCCTCCCTCCATCTCTCACTCTCTCAGTCTGCAGCTTTCTGCTGACTCCAGGAATTATGATCTGTTTCCCGTCCACAGGAATAATAGAATACAGGAGGAAAGGAGGGGGGTCGGCAGCTACTCTGTGGAACAGTATAGAGGAGTCCAGCTCCACTGTGGTTATATTCTCTGTGTGTGTGTCTGCAAATGTGTTTAGATCCAGATGTGCAAATGTGCGATGTTTTCCTCTTCAATTCCATAAACTTCACACATTAAAAGATTATCCTTGGACGTGAACACACACGCAGAAACACACATTTAACCTCAATTATTGGTCATAAATCTTTGCCCTCCTCCCGTTATCTTGACAGTAAACGCCTCACGTATACAACCACGCGGCAGCCTGTGGATCTTTCTGCACCACTCCACTCTCTACCAGAGCCTCTGGGCACTTAACACTATCGGCAGTCAGATCCAGCCACTCTAGTGTGTTTGGAGTGTGTGTGGAGTGTGTCCTCAGCCGCGTAAATATTTATCACACGGCTACCCCAGGAATTTTAATGAGCACTGATGGAGAGCAATCAACACAGCAGAGCCAGTGGAGAGAAGGACGGAGGGACAGGCGAGGAGATGACATGAATTAACAGTTTGGGATTAGATGTTTTGGCTTTTAAATATCAAAGTGACTTTCACTGTTTTTCTGTGGATGTTCACACTTTCCTGCTTTTCTGCTAATAGTTTCCTGTAGGGTTTTTTTATGCTTGTGTTTGTGTCCTGCACTGATCTATCTGTAAAATACGCTCACGCTTATTCTTGTAAGATTTGAGGCTGCGGACATGTCGGTTTTTCCCCCGTGTGTGTGTGTGTGTGTGTGAGTGTGTGTTGAAGTGTGTAGTGTACGTACTCATCAAGGTGACAGGGCCACCCCTTAGAGGTCACTTAACACATTGTGTGCAGGCCAAACTGCATGGGGAGTCAGGGAAGGAAACCTGAGCTGTAACTCACACAGCTCTCTCTCTCTCTCACACACAGACACAAACACACACAGAGAAAGAGACACACTGGACCTGACCTCTGACCTCTGGCTGGGAGTGGCTAATAACTGTCTTGGATTCCTAAAGACGCAGAAGCAGCTCACAGTTCATTAAAATTAGTTCAGGGGTGCTTTATTGGTTTGACGAAACAATAAACATCATATTACTGACTTGTGTTGTTACAGAGGAGCAGAAATCATTTATTCTGCTGCAGATCCCAGGATTTCTACAGATAATAAATACATTGGGCTAAATATTTCCATTTGACATAAAAATATTTATTTTGCTCAACATATTTTCCACAGTGTAAACAAAATATAGTGTCAAAAAAGAACTTTAAAACACTGATAAAGAATATAGATGACACCGTCATGCAGACTTTTTTTTTTTCCAAATTAAAAGCAACTGAAGGGAAAATATAAGAGAAGATTTTAGGTAGTTTACAATGTAAAACATACCATTCACTGTAACATCATGTATTTAAAGAATTATAATTCTCCCTTCTTCAGTTAAGTTTAATTATGTATAACTATATTTGTATATTTCTTTCTTTTATTCTCATTCAGTTCCGTTTTGAGTATTGCTATCTAAGTTTCTTTTTTTTTTTTTTTTTCCTTTTTTTAAATAGCAAAATGCATCTGTGTTCCTAAGACATAAACAAATCTGTTCATGTAAGAAAAGTGTCTTTCTTCTAAGACATTGCACAACTCACTTGGGGGATCCGGACCTCTAGGCTGAGAAACACTGTTGTGTTTATCCATTTTGCTTGTACTTGTTCATTGTGTCCAACTCAATTTTGCTTTCCTTTAATATCCCATAAGTAAGTACATTATTATCAGTGCAAGTTTTGCAAGATTACAATGTATTGTAGGTATAATAATTGAGAAAAGTTATGAAAGGTTTCTAATTTCATCCCTCCCTCCATCCTCACTTCCCTCTAGCACAAACTGAGGGCCTTTTGTGCTTTAAAGGAAGTGATAAGTGATGGCGGAGAAGCGTTAGAAATTGACCAGTGACAGATTTGTGGCTGTAGTTTCAAGCAGCCTGGAAATGATGAAGCTCTCTCTTTTTGCTATGAGAGTATCCCCACCTGCACACACAGAGCAGCTCACACACCTGTTGGCACTGTGAATACATCAGCCGTCATGTTGCTGCAGACAGACACACAGTGTGGTCAGGGCTTTGGCGGCAAACTCTTCACTCTGCCTTTATGTCTCTGCTATTGTACTAGAAGCAATTCATCCTGGGTATAAAAAGCCGAGGATCAGGGTTGAGTTCTTCCATCAAAATCCCAATAAGGTCAAAGATCAGAACATCTGGGTCTGGTTGGAACATCTGGGTCTGCTGGGGACACAGAGACCGTGGGCTCCAGACTCTCACAGCGTTCTCGGCCGCTTTATCTGATATTCTTTGAAGTCTCTGTATTTGCCGCCTCATGTCCACTACTGTACAAATACCAGAGACGCTACTGGACTTCCAAAACCACATCATAGTCTCCCAGCATGCAACCCTCAGAGAGAGAGAGGGGACAGAAAGTCATTTTCTTGGGAATGTTTGATCTGTCTCCCGTAAGTGGGCAGGTTTGCTTTCAAAAGAAAAACAAAAGCAGTTTAGGGACATTTAGCTGTTTTTTTTTTTTGTTTTTTTTGTACGTATCCTTACATACAACCGTGCTTGTGTGCATGCGTATGTTCACATGTTGCTACATGTTTGTATGCGTGCCCTTATGTATTTGGGGGTCAGCCCCAGTGTGCTGTGTGATTTATTGAAAGGCCTCGCAATGATACCAGAATTCCTTTGCGTTAAATGCCTGCTCTGAGTGCCTTTTACTGCCTGTGTGCTTTATGGGCCATGATCACACTCTATTTGTCTCTCACTTTTACATTTCTAAGGATTATTTTTATGGTTTCTCATCTCTTTAAGTCTGAATAGTATGATGGAAAGGGAAAGAAGAGGGATATGGGAAAGTGTAGGCCTTCGCCATAGATCAGATTTCGACATCGCAAGTGCTATGAATGATTATTAATTGTGCAAGTTGTATGGTCACGGATGACTCAGTCAGAGTCAGAGGCTCTCCACCACTAGCTTTTCAATAAACAAACTGTCTTTGTTTCGTGTTGTTTAACATGGCAAAGCTTTTACATTTTTCTGTCTAGCGCAAGATTACATACCTGTTTTTTTTCTTGTATGAACAAAAAACTCTAGGCACATGTTCCAGGTTTTTAAATTGACCCATTCAGTTACATTTATTTCCATTCAATACCAGTAGTGTTGAGAGAAACTAAAAACTCAACTGACCAGATCAATCTAAGAAAATTCGACATGTTTCAAGACCAAAGATAGGTGCTTTTGAGAAAAACACTATCTTACTTATCTTATAATACAAACTGCAATAATACTTGGTATTGAACATGGACACAGTATTTTATATCCTGTTTGTTTGTCCCACTGACAGTGTTGAGTCAGTGGAGCATAGCTAACTTTTGGATTTAACTGTGTAAAGAGTTAAAAATATATATATATAAAAATCCTGGTTCACTGGAATTTGAAAAGCTATACCATACCATAATGAATTAACAATAATAAATCTATAGCGAGGATTTAGCGGTGTATAGATGATGGGTGGATGGAAATCTATAGCAGCTTTCAAAACTTGGAGTGACAAAATGTTTTATAATTTTAAAAAAAATAGCAACTTTTTTTTTTGAAATAGCTCATGAAAATCAAAAATAGGCATCATTAAAACATTATAAAATATCGTAATAATGACATAATACCAGTGGGTTTTGAAAAGCTTTTTTAAAATTGAGTCACTGCCTCAGCTGCTCTGACAGTCAGTGGGAGCTTGTTGCACACAGCTGGAGCTGGAACAGTAAATGCATGGTCGCCCTTTGTTTTAAACCTGAACTGTGGAACTTCAACTGTATTCTGAGGGGTCAGTCGGTGCAGAATAAGGTGTTAGAAGTTCTGGGATGCAGAGCAAAGCCAGGCCATGTAGGCATTTAAAAGTAATCAACAGAATCTTACACTGAATTCCATAACGAATGGGGGAGCGAGTGTAGTTCAGCCTGGACTGGAGTAATGTGTTCCCTGTGTCGAGACTTGCTGCTGAGTTTTGAAACAACTGTTAACGGGCGATTGCTGCATTGTTTAAGCAAGTGAATAATGAGTTGCAGTGGTCCAGGCGGGAGAAAAAAAGGGTGTGGATGAGTTATTCAGCTATGTTTTTGTGGAGAGTTGGTTTGACTCTGGCAGTGTTTCTGATTGGTAAAAGGCAGAATTGAGCACAAGTCTTAATGTGCTGATAAATATTAAAGTATTGATCAAAAACAACTTTCAGGTTTCCTGATAATTACTTTGTGTTGATTGTCAGTGGTCCAAGGTGGAAGGTGATTGCTGTTACAAATGTGATCACAGCCAATATCCAGGACTTCAGTCTGATCAGTTGCAAAAAATTACAAGAAATCCACTGAATTGTGCTGCCACAGAAAATGAACACGACTTGTAGGGAGCATGCAGGAACACTGAACACATAAAAATGGAGAGAAAAACTTTTCCAAGTCAAAGTAAGTCTGAGGTTTTTGTTGATAGTAAACTTTACAAATGTAATCATCATTGATGATCTACTCACGCTGTTGAGTAGATGATGATGATCAGCAGTGACCACTGGCATGTTGGTGTGTTTGGGTAGGGCATCGTAACAAATAGAACTCTGGATCTCAGAATGTTCCAGCTCTGGTTGACTGTTAATGTGTACGCTGTCTCATTTTACTCTGTGTGACAAAATGAAATTCTTTCCAAATTCCTACCCATGATGCCAGTCAGCCCTCAGAGACCTTGATGCTCACTCACAGGCCTGGAACATGCTCTCAGATGGTGAGTGGGTGTAGATCATACAGTCATTTAATCTGTAAAATGTGCCTAATGCTCACAGAGTGAGGGACACATTTTGTCACGGCTAATTTTCAGCTTTCTTCTTCCAGCTTTTGTTATTATCACTGCTGCATATTTTCAGACATGGGCAGAGCACTGCTTTAAACAGGATGTACCAAAATGTTGGATTTGGTTCCAAATCGGATCCATATGAAGATTATATTGTGCCCCCATCTGTTAGTAGTTCATGTTGAATTATTCGCTACATGCTCTGTTTGGGGTGAGTTCACTTGGCCGCAGAATGCTCTTGTTAGCAGTATGGAATCAGCTTTTATTTCACTGAGCGGTGCTCTGCAGACAGATCTGCAAGGGTGAGATTGTCTGTCACCTGCACAAATCCTGCCTGAGAAAGTCCAGGCGCTGGATTAACTTCCTGGATGCTGAACTGTGTGGTTGTGTGCTAAGAAGCCAGTCTTAGCACAGAGGAATCTGATTTCAACAGATGTTCTCCTGCTAGCTTCAGATGGATATTTCAGGGACCAGGCATCACACTGATGGTGACAAAGATGGTGATTGTAATAAAAGTCACAGTTCTTCTCCTTCTCCAGTTCAGCCTCGCGTATTGTTTACACTCACTAGCTGTGCAGCCAGAACGTATCACATTAAAAGAGTTCATGGAAATAAAACTTTAAAAAATAATTCAAACACGTGCGCCATTTCGCAAAACAGTTTTTGTGCTCGTGTCAGGCTTTTTTGAAAACAAGTTAATGTGCTTCATGGGAGATGG